ATATCTCCAGGACTTTCATCACCTTGACTTGATGGTCCTTGTCCCGCATCATTCTGGTGCACAACAATGTAAAATCAATTTACATTCAAAATTGATAATCCTCCGCAAAGTTTTAAATCAAATGTGAAATCAGTTGGCTTTCTATAAAAGACTATTCAACATATCTCTGAAGGACGTGCACAGACAGTTCAATTGACCATACGTTGACTCCCAAAAGATATCAGATGAAGAGGGCTACCAACCTTTTTTGCATACACTTATACCCAAAAACAAACAGTAGTAATCAATAGAAAACTAGCTTCGATAGCAGTTTTCATTGACGTAAATTTATTTTGCAAGTTACGCAGCACCTATTCTTGGCAAAAAAACTGAGTAACAGAAAAAGAATTGATATGGTATCACAAACCTCTACAATATCTTCATCAAAATTGAGTGCGCAACTGGGAGGGACTTCAACAGGATGGAAATCACTAACAGACTTGAGGCTTCCAATGAATGAAGATTCTGCATTGTATACTTCATCAATGTTAAACACCTTGCCCAGCTGAGAAACAATGTTTGCCTCTGAAGGTTCCTCTTGATTCCTAACTGGAGGCATAGTGTAGTACGGAATTTTACCTGAAATTCATTGAACATTTAGCATCAGATAACTCTGTCAGCATTTACTTTCTTCACAAATTAACTTTTCCCAGAGTTCTTGTACTTGACAACTACATGAAAGAAGGCAAATGCGTACCCTCGTTCCAGTCATGCAGAACAATTCTTGCTGCAGCGCTGATATCTACAATACCACCCTTTTTTAGCTTACCCCTAACCGTAGCCACCTTATGCAGAAAGTCATCAACTGAATCAAAGCTTGGGAGCTTGTATAGAGTTACCAACAGTCTGTCTGGGCAAAGCTTCAAAATTTCCTTTACTGTTCAACAAAGGGCAAAGTGAGTAAATCTTGTTTGAAACAAAATTCCAGAAAGATGGCAAGGCAAATAAGTTTCGTATGCAATTGCCACTAAGCATTCTACAGTTCGATGCATGTGTAAAGCAGAAACCTACAGAGTTTCAATATGCACCAGAAGGCACTCAAGCAGCTTAACAGGCTTAAATGAAGAATGGGAGAATGGGCAAGTACCTGGAGCAATTGGGTCCTCTAGCTTCTCAATTCTTTTGCAATTTCGAAGAGCTATAGAGGCATCATTTTCCTTAGATCTAAGCATTACAACACCAGGGCAGTCCAACAATTTGACATTATTATCCAACTGAACTTCTTGCATCGATCTTGTTAATCCTGGAGTAGAACCAACATTGACAACACGGCTTCTCTTCAAACTATTAATGAGACTACTCTTGCCAACATTAGGTAGGCCAATAACACCCACTGTAATTGATTTCTTGATCTGCCAGAGATGAAGGCTCACATTTACAACAGGAATAATGTGATGGATTATTCAAACTTGTACTCATATTCCAGCAACGAAAACCTTAATTGTAGAAAGATATAGACACACTCGCATATATATCTATGGAAATCCTTCCAAAAACACATACCTCATGGCTTCTTGAATAGTTCTTCAACAATTTAAGAAGAGTTTCAGCTCCGAGGCAGTCACTCGTCTGCAGAAGGTTGCTTGGCTTTGATTTCTTTGAGGAGGATTTCCACCCTAGGTTTGACCTTTGCTCTTGGGTGTTACACTTGAAGGCAACAGCTGGTAACTCTTCCCTCAGATAACTGAGCCACTTCTCAGCAGCTTCTCGCGGGATGAGATCTGAGATTCAAAAATCATTACAATCAATAAAGGCTGACGTGTAGATACAAGAAAGCAAATGACCGTACAAAATCAACATTTTAAGATGCTGGAGAGCAAGCAATGTATTACCAATTTTGTTTAGAAGTAGCACGAGATGCTTATTAGGTCCCGACTTCATCACCATCTTTTCCATATCAATACATCGGGTACCCAGGGGATCTCGAGCATCAAGTACCTCCAAAATGACATCTGATGCTTCAATAACTTTAACCAACTCCTTGTAGAAAGCCCTATCTGAGCTATCTGTACAATAGGGAAAATATTTTTAAGAACATTTGAAGGAAATACATAGAAAAGGCAGAGATAAATTCAAGCTCAACCACCAGGCACCAAATAACACATCTTCCCAAAAACATCAAGTTACAGCATACCCCGATTATTGCCAAATCCAGTGGAATCATCAGTACCCCTTTCCTCTGCCACTTCATCCGAATTGGGGAGATCTTCATCCTCTAAGATCCCCAGCTTCCTCTTCTGGGCCTGAATTAAAATAAAGAGTTTCTTTACCGATAGAAATAACTTAAAGTGTGTATAAAAGCAGGAAGTGGTTGCACCTAAAAGATGAAGGTGCAAATAAAACAAACATATAGTACCAACAAAACATACATTAGGAATTGAACATCGCGCTTCATTCGCATAAAAAAAAAGTACTTTTTTCTAAATTATCTTGAAGAATTTGCAACTTATGAGCACACAAGCTCAAAATGCAGACTCACTTATTCTCAGTAACCAATGCATCAATATGCTAGTAATATTATCAAGCTTAAATGCACATATTTGTAATCCGTATAAAAACTACTCAGAAACTCCCCAACGTCCAATTCATAAATTATTACCCAAAAAAATTAAAAAAAATCAATCACAGAAAGAAAACCAAATGCTTGATAAATAAACTGAAGCCATACCCTTTCTTTGCGGGCAGCTTTCTTTTGCTCCACTTCTTCGATATGACGCGCACGACGAGTTTCTAAGGCCTTAAGCTCCTGCTCCTTGAAGGGCCAGTCATTAGGGATACCTGGGTCTTTCTCTACCTTCTTGTTCTTGAAGCCGAGCTTTTTGGCCTCCTTGGCCTTCTTCTTGTGGTGCTCCTTCACCTTCCTTATGACCTTGTACTTCTTCTTCAATGTCACTCTCTTACTCTTACTCTCTGCCAACCGTTAATCAAATTCCAATTAATTCCCCAAATGAAATTGAGAAAGGAACAAAAAAGGTAATGAAAAACAAGAACTTTACAGTCAAAACTATGATTATGGATATGAAAGTTTCGCTTACTTTTGCTCTTCTTCACCATCTTCGGCTATTCTTGAATTGAACCCCAGCTACAGGAGTTTCTGGAGTGAGAATAGCTATTGAGAGAGGAGAAAGAGGAGGCACTTGAAATTTAGGGTTTTGGAAGTGATAGAAGACGACCTCTGATGCGGTTTAGGGTTTATCTACTTGGGTTGCTGCGGGTTGGCCCGACCCAAAAGGTTTCCTTAATGGGTCTTAAAAGCTGAAATTTGAAAATTATATTGGTGATATTGGGAAGTTAGGCCTGGCCCAACCTACTAAGCCTTGAGGCTTTTATATGAAAAAACAAAAAATAGTATGGGGTGAGAGAGGCTCGAACTCTCGACCTCAGGATAACTCAGAAGCTATGAGACCTACGCGCTAGCCAACTGCGCCACCACCCCGTTGGTATTTGTTCTTTGCATGTAGCCTTATTATACAAATCACCAGCGATGACTAGTCTCTATATTAAACCATTTGTTTTTTGTGTTTTAAAACGTAGGATTTAGTCCTTTTTTTTTTTTAGTAATTTGAATATGGTAAAATTACAATACATAGTTGATTTAAAGTATCTATGAGTACTATTCGGTAGTTTAGTTTTGTACTATATTGGGATTGAGTTCAAATTATGATATTTTTTTTTAATACAAGCGATAATTTAAATTTTTAATCTAGAAAGCTGATTTTTCACTCATATTTTGTTCACTTACACTCCATTTCTTGAAAATTATATGTTCCCACTCATTTGTTATCCACTTACTTTATACTACTTTGTATGTTTTACTTTACAAATTACAACTAATTATTTTCAAAGCATAACATAAACAAATTTTTTTTTTTCCTTAAAGTGACAACAGCCCCAAACTAGCCCAAACTTATGGATGGTAGAAATCTCCATCGGGTCCTCGACCCTAATGGGGGGAGCATTCGGGGGGAAACGGGGGCGGGTACGAAGATCCTCGATTTTTAAAATGAGTAATGCTACACTTACCACATTATTATCTCACATTTTTATACCACATGATGTGGCATGTCCATATAATATGTCACATCAATTAAATAAATGAAGTGTATTTTAATAAATAAAATTAGAAAAACAGAAACTAATATTTTACATGATGTGGTATGTACACATCAGCTGACACATCATGTGGTATAAAATTGTGGTATAAAAAATGTGGTAAAACTAGTATTATTCTTTTAAAATACTCTATTAAAGATGGGATGGGGATGATATTGTTATCCCAATTTTCGAACTCGGCCCGATAAGTGATATGTTTATTTTTAATTAATAAATATATTATATTATATTATCTCTAGCAATTTGTATTTCTGTATAGTACTTTCTCTTTGAAGTATTAATTTCTTTACAAATTTTAAAAAAAAAATTCAAATGATACTGTTTGGATTTGTCATTGTGAAATATATACTCTTTTGGAAAATGTGAAAAACTATATTTGCCTTGGAGTATGATTAGGATAATGAGTGACTCAATGAGATAGTCGTCTGTTACTCTTGTTCTTTTTTTTTTCCTTCTGAAAATTACCATTTACAACCAAGTAAAAGCAGTACAAGTTTTGTTTTTGTTTTCTTTCGTAATATTTTTTGTATGTAAAAAGTATATATGTTTTTTAAATTTTTAAATAAATTTGGGATTCGGGTCGGATTTTGAATACCATTTCCAACGGGTACGAGAAGGGGCGGGGATCAGGAGTGAAAACGGACATGGTACTATCATACCCGACCCTTAAACGACCGGTTGCCATCCCCACACTCACATCTGTCTGTTTACTGTTATTCAATTTAATAAGTCAAAGGAAGAAAAGAAAGGTAAGTGTAAGGCATAGAAGCATTGACCAATCAGCGATGGAGTTTATATTTGTTTTGTTTTGGTCAGTTCCCTCAGAATTTGAGCCGTTAATAACTTAGTATTATATCCAATGACCATTGCTCCTCTCGTCTGCATTTGACATCATCCTCCTTTCTCATATTTCCCCATTGCTCAACTCTCAGATTCCCAAACCCTAACCCTAATTCTCGCATTGCTCTAGACTCTGCAAAGTTTGAGGTGTGGATTCGTTTGTTGTATTTCTATGCACTCAAATTGATTCTCATTTTCGATTATATGATATGTATGTATATAAAGATTCGGACTTGGGAGGTTGTATAGCAGTTGAGATTGATTTTCTCTATTTTGTTACCTGAAAACAACCAGAGATGGAAGAACTACGTTGGCGCGCATTTTATTTTTCGCTTTTTTCCCCTCACTGTCCTGTAGATGCTTATATTACTGTTGAATTTGCTGGTAATTGCTAGCTGATTTATTAGTTACTGCATTATTGATTTTGAATTTTCTTTGGGAGATTGAAAAGTGATTCTGTGTTAATGTTATCTGCAGAATTTGATGTGGTAGCTGGAAGTTTTCAAATTTACTCATTGGGTAGTTGATTGTTACAATGTGCTGATTGAGGGGCGAGAAATTTGAAACTAATGGCAGAATATCTGGCTTCACCATTATGTATCAAAGTGCACATACAGAGAAGTTTCATCAGAGAGAAAGGTTTCACAACCCGGAATTCACATTTCAAGATTGTGCAAAGGTATTGTAGTTGTATTTACTAGTTATGCTTATAGTATTGTACTTTTCATTGTGTTACTTTGAAGATAAGATAAGGTTAGTGTGCCAAGCAAGAACAGATTATGAGGCTAACACCGATCTTGATCGTCAAGATAATCTCATACTACTTTATAACCATGTATTGTATGAAAGTTATGTCTTGCTAGTGAGTCGACACTACAGTTTAGCTGGGAATGGGGATTCTGACTTTGCACCTTACTTTGTATTGATTGTTGAGTAACTTAGATTTAGCCTGCAACTATTTTGGGGCTGATGATTTCTGTTAACATTTCCTAACGTCTACCAGAAAAGTATACAAATTGCGTCAAGGTCAATTGTGACTTAGCACTTAATGGTCATGTTTCATGTAATGATTCTCACCCTGAAACTATATTGCTAAAGTAGGAAGTATTCGTATGGAAGCGGCAAGACTGTTCTATTTCCAACGCGGAAAATGTGTGAGCTCACTGCTCCTGGCTTCTCAAATATGAAAGTTAATCCTTTTCCTGAGGAAGCTTCCTTGAAATGTACTTGCTTGAGGTCTTTGGTAGGCCCTGATGGTGCAATAGCCTCTGACTGGTTACCTGTTGTTGATCAAGTGCTTCTGACGGCCAGTGTATTTCTCACATATATGGCTGGAGTAATTCCCCGTCACAACTCTAGTCCAACTTTTCGAAAGGAGATCTCCAATGACAATGTGGATCCTGGAACCTCAACTGCTTCTGGTAGGTAAGGGTAAGCATGTCAAAGTTTTGAAGGTTTCAGTCTCTGTCCATTTAAAATTATTTATGGGAAAATTACGCAAGTGCTCTTGGGGATTTAACCCTAGAACTCACACTCCAACCTAATTCTCAAAGGAGGAAGTGTCATCAAGCCCAAAAGCTATTGGCATTAAGTCTATTTCTTCTAAATGGATGTTTTTTCTTGTTTAAAAATAAGTGTGCAATGCTTCTGGTTTTTGTTTTTCGTTTACTTTAGTTAGTTGAGATGTATTTTCTCTAATTGCAGTGGAACAAAGAATGATGACCCAGAAAATTCAGGTTATGCCTTGGATGCAGTGAAAAGGAAACTTTTGGATTCACTCCGGGCTTTTGAACTTGGAAATAATATGGGAAACAGGGTCCTTCAACATGAAGGATACACTGCAAAGCGACCTTTAAGTTTGAATGCTGTTGCTGATGGTCCAAGATTAAGATTGCTCTGGGCATCGTTTCTGCGAATTGAGGAAGAGGTCAGCACTGCCTCCTTTGTCCTGCTTTGCTATATTTTGTTTTTCCCCTGTCTTTTCCAAGAGAGTTAAATCATTTCACTTGATTGAACAAACACTGTTTCAGTTTTGAAAGTGGCAATTAGGAAAAAGTATCATCTTTTCCATCTCCTCATTGTACTTGCAAGATGGATAATAAATCTTTCATTTATAATAATTGATTGATAAGAGGTTATGATAGATTCCATTATATATTTTAGTTGCGTTTGATCTAAGTCAATCAGATACTTCTATGAAGAAACTTTCTTTTTATTTTTACAAGAAATGCTTTCATAAAGGATCTATTTTCATACATGTCTCCATTGGATGCTGATCACAAACAGATTAGAATTAAATAGTTATTTGAGTTGAATGAACTATATTTCAAAGTTCTGATAGCAATTCTCTCAAATTTGTTTTATAGGTGATTAATATCTCAAAATCTGGAATTTCTAACTTGGATGACTGCTTGGCGGATTTTTCTGATGTTATACGAAAGTCTTGTCAGCCTGTATGCACAAGCTGGTTAGAAACAGAGCTTGATCTTTTAAACAGCAAGCCTAACAAGGTATTTTGGATAGTAAAGGTTTCCTTCTATATATTTTCTGCAACTTACACATTTAGATAAATTCACTTATTCTGCTATGCATTCTGGTCAGGCACTTGCTTTGCTTATGGATGGAAAGTTAAAAGGAGACAACATTGTATTACAGAACATCAGGAACGCAGGAAAGGAAGACCTTTATGCAGAACTAATGTGCTTCCTTAGTTTTGGTTCTCTCAGGTAAATTCAGTATGATTGTCTATTATCTTGGCTCTGTTTCTTGAGAAGTGGTCAACTAATCATCAGGCTTCTGCATTTTTAAATTCTTGTCATAGTAGCTCATAATTCTTCTGCAAAATAGATTCTTCAGCTCTTCAAAATGTTATTTTCTTAGCGTCAATGGAAACAAGCACTTACAATTTACTAGTTTTAGCTTAATTGGATACAGAAGTTTGGGATTTGAAGTACATGGTTCATAATATGGTTTCAAGAAACACATTCCTGTAAGCAATTCCCATCAAAAGGATAGACTCACTGGGATTTGAAACTAATTAGTAATGAAGGTCGATTATTTTCCAACTTTAGAAATGGAATGAGGTAAAATCATTGTTAAACTTAGATATTACTATAATTAAGGGTACTATAATTAATTTCATCATGTGCCATGATTACCATGATGGTACTTATTGGTGATGAAGTGTTAATGATTTTTGCATATTTCTGATGCATATCATGTAGTTTCATAATAAATTAAGCTTGTTAAGTACATTTTCTTTCACATTCTACATTAGCTTCACAGATTTCTCATACATTTATTTTGTAATTTGTTTACAATTTTTTTTTTTTTTTGGGGACACTATTGTACCTTACTCGCTCAACAGGGAGGGTTGCTGTTATGACGGTAACCTGTTTATGAAGCACGGAGTTTCCATACTGGAAGATCTGGTGATAAGTTTAGCAGATGGGATAGTAAGCATATATTTGGAGCTTATTTCTGTTGACAGCAATTTCTCAGATGAATTGGATAGCCTGTCTTTGGCATTGTGTACTTTGTCAACACGAGCACTTCAAAGATTACGAAATGAGGTTCAAGTTGACAATTTCTTAAGCATACCAGCATATTGCTTTGATGTTTTTCTTAATTTTTTCCCATTTTGATTTACACTCTCTCACTTCCACCCGCTCACCCAATTTTTAGTAGGCAGAGATGAACTGTTGAGTTTGTATGCAATTTCAAGGCATCATATTTTTGTCTAAATGTCATATGGTCAATTTGTGTCTAGACTTCTTGAACGCCTTTGTGGTGTGGATGTGGTTGTATGTAGGGAGGTAGTTGGTTTGATATATTGTATTATAAGATATGCCCTTTTTATCAGGTGGCTTTGTACCAATGGTTGTATCAAAATATGGAAGCAATTGCAGCAATGTATGAGGATCGATTTGACTTGTGGACATTTCAGAGCCAACCCATCAAGGAATTAGACAATAGCTGGTCTGAAAATTATAGTTGGTGGAAATGGCTTACCCAGAAAAAATCTGGCACTGCGCCATCAAGATTACATCAGGTTATGATAAGCCAGTTCTCTATGCCTGTAAAGCGAACAAAGGAATTAAGGGCCCTAACAGGGTGGTATGCTCTTTCCCCACCCCTCACATTTTTCTCATCTTTCCAAATAACTTTGGCCATCACCTTATTGCCTGATTTAATCTTGAAATAATTGAATATGGATGAGTTGTCTTGTTATGTCTGTTGCAGGAGGTATTACTTCAGCCTATTCCTCGAGTTATCTGATATTAGCATGCCGTTGATTAGAGCAGTTATTGACAAAGTCAGCAAGGCTCTTTCGTTTTTTCTAGTTAGCTTGATTGGGAGGTCATTAGGACTCATTTATACTGGAATTAGGCAGTCTCTACGTTGGAAGTGATAGATGGGTATTTGTTTTCATTCTTTATTTCAGTTTGCCTTTTTTGATATGGCAGAGTTGGTTTTAGAAGAATGTAAATTACAATCTGTCAGCTTGAAATGTTCATTTTTGTTTTGTGCCAGTTGAGGCACCCCCTTATACCCATTGGTTAACATTCTGAGCAATGCAATGAATTTGAATTTAGCATAAATCTTGGTACCACCCTGTTCCACATTGTGCAAACTATATTACAGATGCTAGCTTTGCATGGATGTAGAACTGCTTTTGGGCTGTGAGTGCATCTTTTATGTATAAATCTCTCTCTGTGTTTGTGTGGATCTCCCAAGTCCGTTACAAGTTATCCTTTCGATCCACAAGCAAAGGACAATATAATTGAGAGCTAGCGCTTTCCGATCTGAGTATCTCTTGAAAGTTCTCCCCATCATCATAGGAAACAAACAGGATGCAGTCACCGGTTTTTGGTTGAGTTTACTCTCTGTTTAGCTAAAGAAGTTCAGTCAGCTTTTACTAGATAAGTTAGCCCATACTTTTTTCATATAAATTTTGGAGAAAGAAATGTGTGTTCCAAATAAAGTTGTTGCCTTGGTCACTGCAGCTGTTTGGTGAATGCATATATCCATATATGTCATAAAAGATTTATGTCCAAACTCTGCGTGTGATTTATATCCCTTGATGTTCATGAAGAAAATGGTGGGAACATGAATGTGAGAAAATGGCTGGCACATAAATGACATTACTTTTCAGAAGATCACAAAAGCAAAAGTTTCGTTTGAGAAGATAATCTTTGCGCCCTACCATCTTTACACCGTATTATTTTTTGGGCTAAGAAACTTCTTATTATACACTAATCAATTCATTGTGTCCACACCTTTCTATAAAGCAGGGTCTCCCACTTTGAGCCTTTACTTTTTATCTGACCTAATTATGACGAAGAACATTATTGAGAAAATTGGCTAGTTATGGCCAAATAAGGCTTACCCACATTAATAGAACAACTCAATCCGTCACACAGCGATGCAATTGTTGGCTTGAGCTGTAACACCGTCAGTCATGCGTGGCCGTATGGCGATATTTCAATGCGACCCTTGCATCAAAAGCTAATATTGTGGGACTCGGACAAATCAAAGGCTAAGATACTGTCATGCATCCATGCGCGGCTTACAGTAGCATTTTTCTTGTCGGACCAAATATACATAATCTGGCCACATTCATTGAGAAAACCCAGGTTGACAAGATAGGCAGAGAAAATGAGAAGACAACACAACAAAGGAGGAGGAGAAAAAAAAGCATGATGAAAGGGTGGAGGAAGCATCACCATCCAAGCAAAACAGTACGAAATTAGAAAACCTCATGAATTTATGCGTTATTTCTTAATCATAGAAATGGAATAGAGCAATGCCTTTTTATGAGCTATGATTGGACAATTATAAGAAGAAAACATTGCTTATTATTATTATTATTGTGTTTTGTGGACCACACTGCCTTTGGCCACTTGAAATGCGTGGTTGCCTGGTGAAAACTTGAAAAGAACCTTACATGAGACTAGTCAGGCAATTTGGAACTCTGCCCATTTGATTTTCATCAATAATAAAGAAGAGGACCAAAAATTCTCAAAATTGTAAAAAAAGCCAAGAGGGGAACAAGAAAAGCACTCCTCCAACTTTAGCATTAGAACTTTTGGATTCTTATAGCTACTTTTCCATTTATTTTTTTCTTATTTAATTCTTTGTTTAATTGATAAATTCTTCACCACTAGAGCTAACTAAGCAAAGAGCGATTTTTCAAACACCTTTAAGTTTTTTATTATTATTTAATTTAATTTTTTATATTAAAGATATAAAGATTACCCATCAATCAACAAGACGAAATAAGCATAATACTCGGATATTATAATTAAATCTGCATGGAGACGTGCATTGCAATAACGGCCACCATATCTCATTTTCTTCTTCTTCTTCTTCTTCTTCTTCTTCTTCCATATCAGACCAATCTTCTTTGCTATGAGATTTGACTATAATTGTTTGACTGTGAATCCAAAAGTTAAAGGCATCGTCATATATATAAGGTTGTGGCAGGAAACTGAATCAAAAGGCAGCAATTTAGCTAGCTAGCTAGCCAGCCACTCGGCACAGAAAAATACAAAGTAAACAATCAGTCAGTGCCACACATAATCTATTACTTTTAATTAAAGGTATATATAGAAAAGGGGTAGCCCCATACCTAGAATTGTCAAATATTGCATCTATTAATTCTACACTTGGGAACTGTTTGGGAGGCAGAAAGTGTTATTTCTGCCCTCAAAGTTGAATTGACCAAACACTGTTTGTTTAACTGATGACCAAACCATTTTTTGGTTCAATTTGGGGGAAAGAAAACTCTAGGATTTCGATTCTGGGTGCCAAGCAGGGGGGAAAGGGAGAGGGCCACAACCACTGTGGTAATCATGCTCGACCTGATGACCAATCTTTAAAAATACTTGAAAATGCACCAAAAGACCACACCAGCAACTATATATATATTTTTGTTTCAGCCAAGCTTCTCAAATGTAAGCTCCAAAATGCAGACTAGGGTTTGCAAAAAATTATAACAAAAGTTCACTTGCCTAGATAAGTTTGGTGATTGACTTGAAATTGGAGAAGCCAAATCTGGGTCAATTATTTCATCTTGGTTCTTGCATAATTATTATTATAAACAATCAAACTTGGATACAACCAGCCAAGTGGCCCAAAACTGAGCAAACAAAAGAAGTGATGAAAAGCTCGAGAGACATGGTGGGGGTAGGGTTCTGTTTTCTGACATTAGACGCAACCCTTTGCTAATCTGACTAAATAGATGACCTTACAATGGGTTTTATGTAGTGGAATACAGCTCATTAAATAAGTAACAAGCTAAGATAAATATAACTTAATAATATCCTGAGTCAATTCATATATTCCATAGAAATGTTCATAATGTAAGTGGGAAAAGAATAAAAAGAAATAAATACATGCTTTTTAAAGTGTGATTCTTTACACCAAAGAGTGGTTATCCTGGACATTCCCTTCCCACCAGTAGAAATTGGGAATTTATTTGACTGTTTCTAATTAGCGGAGGAAATTAAATAAGTATCAGATACATAAAGGCTGTGCAAAGTTTTCAAATCATGCAGACTATAAACACATATTCTAACATTGCTTTAGCATGTGATTTCTTCGGTCACATCCATAAAATACATCAGTCATTCACACGCACGCACGATTATAGATATATAAATCTTTTGTAAGTTATATGTAGAGCTTAATACAACACTCTTTTCTCAACAATAAGCATGACTTTTGCTACTAAAAAGGAAGAACAAATTGTAATTAAGCATATCCATAATTCCTGGGCTCGGTCGGTTTATCTTTTAGAACATGGCTTGGCTCCTCAAAATTGAGGAGCGCATGGTCACAACAAATGGGATTTTCACACATGTATTTTACCTTTGACAAAAACCTATGAGAAAGATAAAGACAACCCACAAAAGGATATTAGATTAGGGTTGAGAGCTCACCTAAATTTGTTGACATTTCGAGCAACAATAGTGTGAGTGTTGGATTTGTGCTATATACCCTTACAGTGAAACGACCTAACCTAAAGAAAAGATACACTGTTATTATATAGATTATAGAGAGGCTGTCTTGTCTCTGTCTCTGTCTGTTTGAGAGATATTGAAAATCTATTTTATTTTATTTTGCAGATTTATAGTTGTTGTTAACTTACATCACCTGAACACTAAAAAAATAAAGTTTTTAAGGTCCACCCTATTGACTTCTGGGTTTTGGTCCCCGATGTCATGGAACCATACACATCAAATGGGCTGTTGATGTTTGTTTTGAACGTAGACTTTGCCCCAAATGAAATTAGAAGTGCTTTTTCATGGAGAATTTAATGTGTTATATATCTTATTGTTCTTCTTGCCAAACAAGGAAAAGGGTTATATTTTTTCTCTAAATTATGAAGCAATTATATGCGTTGGTTTTGCTTAAGAAATAGCAACCATCGCTGATGAAACTTGACCTTTGAATAGATAAAGGTGGGTGGGTAGAAGGTTTTTATCGACAGGGTTCAATCAAGCCTTTGTTGGTGCTACATTATGGTTTTTTTGAAAAGTTGCTTTTGTCATTTCTGTTAGATGGGCTGGCTGAGCTTCTTTACCCTCCTTGATTTCCGTTAACACACATACATACATGTTTACATGAAAAGAAAGAAGGAAAAAAAAAGAGAAAATTCAAAATCTACACCAACAGGAGAAGGAGAAGAGAAGAAGAAGAAGATCTTCCCATATTCATCATTGTGTCTTACTGGATCACAACATAAAGAAAAACCCTAATCAAATTTAAAAGTAACTACTCCACCATAGTTGGAAACAACATAGCTAGCTAAATTAGTCAAACAAATCAACCCATCTCACCAAAACAAATAAACCATGAATTACTCAATCAATTCCCTTAAATCTCTCTTCAACCCCAAGAAAGTTCAAGAAACAAGTTTTTTTTTTTCTGCGGCTAAAATTTGGTTGCTTCTAATTTCATGGAGCAGTACGGCCATGGAAGCAATATTCAAAAGCCAGATATATGAACATGATATGTATTATGTACATACATATATTATACACATTGGCTATATGTATGTAGAGAAATAGTAAATTACCAACATAACCTTAACGTACCATCCCTCTCTTGACCTTGTAACCGAGGTAGTGGGGACCCATGCATCACCCATCATGGGAGACATACATCCTCCTTTGGCCTCTCTCTCTCTCTCTCTCTCTCTCTCTCTCTCGTGTTCAGGTACCGCTCATACTTGTCAGTCCTCTTGATTGAGGGATAGAAAAGAAACAATCCTCTCTCTCTCTCTCTCTCTCTCTCTCTGATGATATAATAATAATATTAATACATACAATATACACATATATGTATATGTGTATATACGACTCATGAGAGAAGTACCAGTATATGATAGAGAATACGATGCCTTGCGTTTTTTCCTAATTTGTTTCCACACTACACTACACCACACCATAAATTGGCTTCATATACGGTGGATCGTGTGCAAAGAAATATTCGAGTGTGCAAGTCACGCAAGAAAGGAAAGGAGTGAATGAATTCTTCCTGTGAAAAGAAAAAAAATTATGCAAAGAA